AACAAACCACAAAAAATGACTGTAAAATTTTTACATACAACATATGTCTGGAAGTTGGCATGTGGGTGGAAGAGTGAGAGTCAGACAAGGCTCTTCCATTTTATTACATGTCAGACATTATTTCTCCCTGCTCCCACACACACTCATCAACACAAACGTACACACATCCTCACTCTCTCATGCTTTATGCCTCCTGACATGAAATGTGTTAATAAAGCAGGTCCAACTAATCGATCCTTTGGCCACGCAAGCTGTCATTCTAGTGCTTCCTTACTAAAACCTACAATTAGGGGTGCCTGGGTGGCTCAGTCATTAAACGTCTGCCTTCGGCTCAGGTCATAATCCCAGGGTCCTGGGATGGAGCCCCGCATTGGGCTCCCTGCTCCGTGGGAAGCCTGCTTCTCCCTCTCCCACTCCCCCTGCTTGTGTTCCCTCTCTCACTGTGTCTCTCTCTGTGTCAAATAAATAAATAAAATCTTAAAAAAAAAAAGAAAAGAAAAGAAAAGAAACGGGAGCCCTTGTGCATTGCTGGTAGGAATGTCAAATGGGGCCGTTACCTTAGAAGACAGTCTGGTAGTTCCTCAAAAGGTTGAACATATAGTTATCATATGATTTAGCGATTCTACTGCTAGATACATAATGAAGAGAACTGAAAACTTATGTCTACAAAACACTTGTACACCAATGATAATAGTCAAAAAGAGGAAGCGACCCAAATGTCCCTCAACTGCTCAACGGATCAACAAAGTGTGCTCTATCCACAGAGTAGATGATTATTCAGCAATAAAAAAGAACAAAGCACTGAGCTATGGTGGACCCACTGGTACATCAATGGCAAGGATGAATCTTGAAAAACATTATGCTCAGTGAAAGAAGCCAGACACAAAAAGCCACATAGTTATGAAATGTTAAGAACAGGCAAATCTTTAGAGATAGAAGGTAGATTAGTGGATGCCTGGGGTTGAGGGGAGGACAGTGAGGAGCAGCTACTAATGGATTAGGATGGTGTTTCTTTTTGGGGTGATGAAAATGTCCTGGTGTCCTGGAACTAGAGTGGAGATTGTCCAAACCTTTGTGAATCATTAAAAATCCCTGAATTGTTCACTTTAACAGGGTAAATTTTATGCTGTGTGAATTGTATCTCAATTAAAATAATGACCCTCTGTGAGATATACATACATAAAACTCAGAAATTACAGAGGTACATTCCTCCCCAACTTTGCCTCCTATTTTCATCTTCTTCTCCATATTGCCTTCTCAGGCGTATGTATATTTATGAAGCAAATTAGGACCTTGTTATACATACTGTTTTGTTACTTTTTCTACTTAATATGACCTGTTCATATTTTTCATCATTGGAAGTAAGACAAAAATTCCCAAACTGACTTTTTAAGTAATATAGCAAACCCAAAAGTCATAAAGAAAAAAATGGATAACTTGACTGCATAAAACATAAACATTTCTTTCTATATGGTAAAAAGATGCCATAAATAAAAAGACCAAGTAGGAGAAACTATGGGAATCATTTCTAATAAAAGGTTAATATTCCTGTATTAGGGATTAAGGATCCTATAAATTGATTTAAAGATGAACAACACAAGAGAAAAATGGGCAAAGATGTAAAGTGGCAAGTCACAGGAAGGGAAATATAAATGGCACATACACACGAGAAAAGATGTCAACCTCATTAGTTATCATCTTTTACCCAGCAGATGGGCAAAATTGAAAAGGACTGGTAACAGCCAGTATTGGCAAGAGCAGGGGGGGATGGACATCCATAAATTGCTGAAGGATACAAACTTTTGGGGAAGTAGTTTACAGATAAGCATCACCTTTAACCCACTCTGGGGATTCTAACCCACAAAAATAAAAGCACCACTACTAAATATGTTCACAAAAATGTTTATTGCAGCAATTTTTATAAGAAGGGGAAAAACTGGAAACACCTGGACTGTCAGTTGCTAGATGGTAGCTATGATAGCTGTAAGCTGTGATTTGTGGGACCCATGGATATTAAAGAAGTATGCTTTAACCCGATGTTACTGACTTAGAGGCATGCACATAGTAGAACAGCTCTGTGAAGGAAGCAAGTTGCTGAGTAATTGTACAGTAAATGCCATTAAACTAAAACTTTAATGCAGATATGTGTTCGTATCTTGTCGCAGGCACAGAGAGAGCCTGTTAAATTTGGTATGTTAGGGGCTGGGTATGTTGTGTTTGATTATTTCAAAGAAGAAAGTAATTTTAAAGAGCTGATTGTTGAGAAAGGACAATATTGTGCTCACTGAAGCTCTCTTCAAAGCCAGGGGACAGTTAAGAAGAATGAGAGAAGTCGCGATCGGTGAGACGCTACCGTAACCAGAACACCTTACCAACTGTAAGGAATGCTGATACTTTCCTTTTGATCTAACATTTGGCTCCTGACTGAGGTGGAGGAAGAGAGGCTAGGAAGGAGCCTGGCCCAGCTGTCTGGAGCACTGGACAGGTGCCTGGCCGGAGGTGAGAACTCTGTTTGGTTTCTGACTCCAGTGTCCCCTTGGGCTTCACTCAGAAGGGGAGTCACCTGAACCTCTTACAAGAACAGATCAGGGCAGGATCAGACCAACAGATGTTGGCCTCTTCTCGATCAGTTCAGTTCAGAAAAATGAGTGACAATTCACATTGTGAATGAAGGATTTGCCTTCAATGTTACTACTGGGGACCACGCTTCCACTGGGGTCAAAGTAACTCCTGGAAGCAAGTTATTAACTCAAAGAGGAGAAGTCATGCTGAGTCCCTGAGACCAAATCTCTACTCTAGGAAAACTAAAATGTCAAACTGGGATGAAGTTTACCTTTACTCTAACAACCCTGTCCGAAATGCCCTCCTGAGGGGGGCTAAATGTGATTCTTAAAACGGCATAGAGCTCTGGTAAAGGTTCCTGCTTTCAGTGTTTAGAAATTCAAAGAACGTATTTTTTTTTTTTTAAAGTAAAAGTAAAAATATTTTTAAAGCGCTGGTATTTTTCACGACTTTTTTATAGGTTGCACGAAATGTCCTTTGGACTGGTTCATTTAGAACAGAGACGTTCTAAAGGTAGACAAGTGATGTGGCCCAAACACAAAGGAAAAACACATGTGCTCTTGTTGGTGGCGTTTAACTTGAAGAAGTGACTTTAAACTCTCTTTTGGGAGACAAGAGAGACAAAAGGAGATGATCAGAAACTGACAGTTCCTCGAACATACGCAAATACCATGACAACACAACCCCTTCAGCTTAATGGTGGGACTCCTCTTAGGGGAAAGACAAACAAAGATAAAGACATCTGTCCTTTTCTGCAGACACCAATCCTCAGCAAGATAAATCATTATGCTGACGAACCTGTTCCAGGGACTAGGCTTCTGGATCAGGGGCACTTAGGAACAATGTCAGGGGAAAAAAAAGAAAACCTCCCCTAAGTTATGACGAAAGGAAGAGAAAGGAGTGAGGAAAGAGAAAGCGCAAATCCTAGCTTGGGGGCGGGGGGCGCACAGGTGCCCCTGGTTTGGGGCACTGGGCACAACCCAAACCTGACGGGACAGGGTGTATTCAGACAGGAAGAGTTCCCATTCAAATCTCCTTTATAATTTCTTTGAGCTACATTAAATCCTTGCAGCATGTTTCTGTTTTTCTCCATTTTTCCCCCCAGGCAGTAACAGACGAGCCGGGAGCCGGCTCGCTAGCAACATGAGGAAGTGACCACGGGGCATCTCTGCCGTGGGCACAGGGAGCTTTGGGATCTATTTTCAAAATATGCCCTAACTAAAACCTCATGTGCTTCTTGCCAATCTTGCAGAGGCTGAATCCACCGCACGTCGCTCTGTGAAAAGGCACCTCAACCCGTGTGGCATTTCTGCTGTCCGGTTGGGTTAACATCCCTGCTTTCCTAGGGGCCGATACCCCGGGAGCGCGGCCGGGGGCCGAGGGCGCGGGCCTAAGCAGCTCTGAGCAGGGGCTTGTCTGAGCAGGTGCTTCTCTGGGCACGGGCTTCTCACCGGGCCTGCTCCCGCTGCTCCTAAGGCAGCTCTGAGACCCAGGGGGCAGTGTCAGGTTGGTTCCTTGTCAATCAGCCAGACAGTGCCAGATCATGACACAGGACTCCCTCAGATCTTTGCAGGGGCCTCTCATGTTACAGAGGGAAAGGGGAGCAGAGGGGCCGTCTATTCTTTTCTCTCCTCAGCCATGGGAGTGTTGCTCACGGTGGGGCTGGCGGTGTTCCTGCTCCATCTCCCGCCACTGGTAAGATGGAGGGAGCCTTCGGGAATTTTTATCTACAGAGCACGGGAAAGCACTTTGCTTTCAGGGTGAGCAGGAACTGCTACTCACGCCCACTCCTCCTCAAAGTGACCTCTCATCACTGGTGGGGAGCTCAGGACACGATACGCTACACAGCTGTGTGTGCCTGACGAGGGTGCTCCCGCAGGGCCCCCGGGACCAGGATGGAGGGGGAGCGGTCTGTCGCCTGCACTGCAGTGGACAAGGGATGGCCCCGGGGACTCCTGCTGACAAGGAAAACTTAAAGGCTGCTGGACGAGCACCTGTTATTGTGGGTCTGTCTAGTGTCAATCAATCAATTTTGAAAGTGATTATCTATTTTCTTTCACCCTGAAGGGGTGCAGCGCCATGATGAGGGTGATGAGTACGGCACCCTTTCAAAGCAGATGGAGAAGGAGAAAGGGAGGAGGAAGGGAGATCTGAAGTACCCGGGCATGCTTTCATGCATTAGACTGAACTTTTTTTTTTTTTTTTTTTTACTAAGCAGCTCCCCTCTGCTTGTTGAGTACCGAAATCTAGATCAAATTTCAAGTGCCTTCTAGGACAAAAGTGGTTAATTTGGAATAACTCTGAAGCATCCTGCCTCTGTGGATGGGGAAGGCAGTCCCTTTCCTGGAACCTTTAATCTGGGAGTGGGGCAGCAGGTAGAGTCCAGATAAAGGACTGCAAGAGTGGATCACATGCTTGAATTTATGCGGGTTCCCTACCTCCTGGCCCCTGTCCTGCACGGGACACGACTCACTGTCTGCTTCCGAGAACGATCCGGATTCGTCGCTGGAGTTGGTTCCATAAGACTGCTCACATTTAATTTGGGGTCGGACTTGGTTGTACATTCCATCTCCCATCAGGCCTGGTTCCTGATGTTCTGTGGCTAGGAATCTGGCTCCCTGGGAACAGGGCGAGGAGGAGAACTCACAGAGAGGGAGGCTGCAGGGTGAGCCCCCGCTCCCATCCTCTGCGTAGGAATAGGAGGAGCATGAGCTGGAAGTCCTGGTCCTGGTCTCCAAGGGGGGCGAGCGAGGGCAGACTTTGATCGGCACCGGGCAGCTAGTGTTGGGCCGTATCCTTCCTGGCAAATGGTCAGCCATCAGCCCACCGTGGGCGTAGGCCTGTGAGCTGGGGAGGGACTGGCCAGCCCCCACCCACAGACCCTTTGGCACCGGCTCGGAGAGGTCTTTGTCCAAACTGCTTACCCCAGAATACGAATGCACCGCAGTGCTCACTTGGTCACAAGCGCTCGAGGAGAAGATCACACTTCTCCGGTCCAGCTCTCCTTCCTGTTTACAGAGAGCCTCCAACCCAGGCCCCTTGAGGGGCGACCCCATGGTGAAGTTGGACGGGTCCTTCTGGCCCAGGTGGGGCTGTCCGTAATTCCCCGGGAAAGGGGCGTAGTCAGTTTTAAGGTCACCCTGAGTGATCCCCTTGTCAAAAGGGCACGCTGAACTCCTGGCAAAGTGCTGCTGAGAGGTACTGGGCAGGCCAGACAACTCCACACTATTTTTTATGCTGAACAGAGACCTTAAACAGGAGGGGGAGGACACACTCCTGGATCTCTCCAGGCAGGTGGCCCCGGCGGCGGGGGCGGGGCCGGGGGCGGGGCTGGGCTGTTTCCGGTCCATTTCGATATCACCTGCTCGGTCCTTGCTGTCAGGCTCGTCTCCGGACAGGCAGAGCGTGATGCTCTCTTCCTCGTTCTCTTCACTGGGCGGCTCACTTTTAATCTGCCCCACGGCAAGCCCCGGCTTGAGGCTGTTGCTAGAGTTCTCTTCACTGAATGTGCTTGCAAAACCTGAGGTACTGTGTGATGATGCATTGTAGACATTCTTGGTACATGCAAGCTGGTATTTCTTGTATCTGGGGTACTGCGTCAACGCGTCCTTTTCGGAGCTCTCCTTGGTGTCGGCTGGCACATCGGACTCGGGCAGCAAAGCTTCTTCCTTCTCGGCTGCTGGGATGGCGGTGGCCTCAAAGCTGATGGGGTCTGGAAGCATCTGGTCCCTGGGGCACGCCATCTTGGCCGTCTCGGAGTCCATCGTCTCCTCCTCTTCCTCCTCCTCCTCTCCCGCGGAGTTCTCACGGTCCTCGTGCGGGCGCTGGCACGCCGTGTCCTTCCGGCACACGAACAGGCCATCCTCACTGTTCAGGAGCTGGGTCTGCAGGAAGCTGAAGCAGGAGTCCTCCAGGTTATGCATGCGCAGGAACTCAGCACAGCGGATGACCTCGCGGATGTTTTCTCTGCTGAGTAATAGTTTGGCGGTGTAGGCAAACTGTAGCAGAGGCCCAAAGCCCCTGGCCGTGACCTGCAAAACAAACAGGGAAATTGCCGACGTTACCATCAGCACGGCTATTGTCCCGAATCCCTCAACTGAAGCAAGATAACCAGACAGTGCTAATGTCCCAGAATAGAGACTGCAAAGGAGCAGTTAATCTCGCACTGGGTCAGCAATGCTTCTGCCTCCAATAATTAGTGCCTGTCTCGTGCATGCCTCGCTCCCCTTCATCACCTGGCACATGGCATTGAAAATCACCAGGGTCAAGTGGCTAAACAAGATGGCAACGGGCTCAGTGTTTACGCTAATGAAATATCCTGGCAAAAATGCACGGTAACAACAACAAAAAATGCACGGTAACAATGGGAAGCCTATTAATTTCCTTCCCCATCAGTCCCGTGGAGAGTCCTTCTAGTAAGGAGAGCTGTGCCACGTGCAGCTCACTCGAGCCAAAGAAAGCATTCTATTCTTTTTCTGGGCAACTGCAAAACTGGCAATATGGCCTGTTAAAACCTGAAAGTCCACAGGGGTTGAAAAACAGTTTTCCCTCACTTAACAAGTTAAAGAGTGATATGAAAGCAACTTCCGTTTTTCTCATTCATCAGGGTTTCCAGATGGGACTTTTCAGTCATCACGTCATACCTGATCTTATGGTATGGAATACCAGAGATGACGACAATCCAAAGCAGTGTTCTCAACCCCAAAATCAACTCCTGGCCCAGAAAGAATGGGGGTTACACAACTAAACAAACTGGCTGCCATTTAAATGGTTGAGGTTGCTGAGCGGCACGGGACACAGCCTGTTCCCTCCCTAATTATGAGCAGCGGCTTTGCCAGGCGGCTGTCTCCTTTCCTGCTCAATCTTCAGAAGCTCAGCCTACTAATGTCAGGTGCTCCTCATGCTTTACATTTTATTGACTGAAAATGTGCTATTTATGCACGGTTTTGCATCCGCGTACACTCCCCCATACACGCTGAGGGTGACTTACTCAATTAGAAATACCTTGCCTAAGGCCAACTGTTTTCTCAGATGCGAGGGGATTCAACTTGCTGGTGTTCAGGGCAGGCTTCCTCACCCTGTAGGCAAACCTACATGCATCTTCTAGGTTCTTGCAAACACTGCTGATCCCATAGGAAGGGGAGGCAGATCTGCAGATCATGTGTACAAATCGAATGAAAGCAGCCATCACGGGGTCCTTGCTGGAAGCTCTAGGAGCAGTAATATCAAAATATCTGCTAAGGGCGTCGGTGCAGAGCAAGTTGAACTGGCCAGCTCTGTAGCTGACTTCCACATGTGTTGAATTCACGGCAGCATACAGAGCCAAAACTCTTGTGAAGACTTCTATCTGTTGTTTGCGATTCAACATGGACACCACCTTCTCCTGGAGCGGTCTCCCAACCTCTTAGAACAAACGATCCCAGCCTCTCAGCCCCATCGCTAGGGTGAGGAAAATGCCCTGGATTTTTCAGGGCAGCACTGATTTTATATGCGGCATTCTTTCCAGCCAGGAACATTTCTTAGATATATAACTGAATGGGATTTTAATTGTTCGTATTTTGGAAGGACTTTAAATAAAATTCCAAATTAAAACAAAAAACAAAAAAAACCTCTGTCAGATAATGAGTCCCAAGATACTTGCTTAAAAAAAGAACACAACAGAAAAACATGACCGCTAGACTCACATTGTAGTTCCACAAGGGCAATCATTGCTATCTGACTTTTATTATACTTAATTGGGTCTGTTTCTACCGTTAGACAGCAAGCTCCTTCAGATCAGGGATGGCTTCATTTCTCTTTATAACTCTGCACCTGATTAGGGTCTCTAACATGGTGTACAGCCGATGAAAGCTTGTGTGGTGCTGAAATGTCGTAAGTCTACCTGTGCTTCTAACATACAAGTACAGTGTACAGAACGTAACAACACGGTCTGTTTGGCGAGTATCGTCTCAAATTACTTTTGGAGTGAGTCACTGTGTAAACCAATAAACCACACCAACCGACCAGTCAGGGCACAGCAACAGTCCTTATTTGTCCTAACCCCCAGTACCACTATTGAAACGGAGCTCATCTGACCTACCTTTGTGTCCTACTAAGCTGACATGGTAATAGATGCACCAAATGCAGTATCTACTATATCTGTTTTATGTATTTTCCCCCAGGAACCTTTCAAAGGGAGTGCAAGGCAAGGAAGTACACATTTACAAGTAACCAAAGGAAGCCACGGGAATGTTACATGACCCATTCCTTTGCTGTAATGTGATTGCGCAACAAAGAGAAGAATGGCCTAATCAAGGCACTGTTGGCCCCTCCATAAGGAAGCATTTTCTGCTCCGCTCCCACGCAATCTGCCAGTTGCTGAATGGAAACACACATCTCGAGTTTGGGTAGATGTACTCAGCATATGGGAAATGGGGGAAACTCACCTCAATGTCATTTATATTTTTTATAAAGTCTTCCCTTATGGTCATTCCCTTTTTATTTCAATGCCATTGGTCTCAATAAGTCCTGACACTGTCCCCCACTACAGCTGCTTTTAAAGAAAATTCCTAGAGAAGCCAGGAACACCCCTGGGGATGATTAGATCAGTCATGGGCATTGCCACCTGCCACATGGCTGCAAGGAGCTGGAGAACACGCCTCTCCATGCAGGGACAAGCTGATGCGAAAATGTATGAGTGGGACTGAGGATGCCAATGAGCACAGTCTCCACATCCCAAATCACATCACCGATCCTTTTGGGCTGAGGAGACATGATGAGCTTGAAATGATCATTAAAGAGTCATGATTAAAAACAGGATTGTAGGGGGCACCTGGGTGGCTCAATTGGTTAAGCAACTGCCTTCGGCTCAGGTCATGATCCTGGAGTCCGGGGATCGAGTCCCGCATCGGGCTCCCTGCTCGGCGGGGAGTCTGCTTCTCCCTCTGACCCTCCTCCCTCTCATGCTCTCTGTCTCTCATTCTCTCTCTCTCAAATAAATAAATAAAATCTTTAAAAAAAACAAACAAACCAGGATTGTAAACTGTCATTCAAGTTCAAGGTCAGAGGAAATGGTGTCTTCACCATGAAATTTCAAGAGTCCATAACTAGTTCTCCCCTCACCCGAGTTTAAATCCTGCCTGGTCATATTCAGTTCTGCTAAATTTTTGCTCAGTTTCTGTGTGCAAGGCTTTGTCTAGTTACCATCTACCAAGTACTCTTAGTGCCCAGCACCATGCTAGCTGGTTCTCATAATGCACTGCAAAGCAGGCGTTGGAGACAAAGGAAACAGAAGGAAGGAGGTGAAGGAATTCGTTCAAGGTCATAGAGCTGGGATTCCAACCCAAGTGCTATAAGGAACGGGTAAGTACAAGACCAGGCCCTCTGCCCAAGAAACCTACAATGTAGCTTTGTAGATGCACCTTAACAATGGAAAGTTAATTATCAAGTAACAACATCAGTCAACAATGGAAAGGCTATCACAAGATTACATAATGATTAGTTGTCAACTGAGAAATCCCGACCAGTTCAGGAGAGAAGGCGACTGCTGAGGTCTGTGGGGATCCCTTGAACCCTCATAAGCAGGACACCTGGAGTGCAGTGAAATCGCCCTAAGTCCACTCTGGGTCAAGAGCTGCTTCGATATAACGGGTACGTCTGAACCACTCGGTGTCCCTCCCAGGAACCCATCTCTGGTACACTATTTAGGCCAGCTGTGATAACTCCAAATACACAGAACAGAAAGCAAGTGCCCATCACACCTGCAGGCCATGTCAAATCAGGCAGAGGCTTTGTAAATACTGGTTTTAGCCTCCATCTTGGTAGCTTGCACTGTCTTTCCATTTTTAGGAATCATTTAAACTCACTCACTGTACTCAGGAAGCAAATATCCAGGTACCAATGGAAAGCTGTATGTTTATGACACCGTGATCACAAGGCTGCATTGTTATTTACTTTCTGTTTTTAACAAGTAAGGCTCTGATAATGGGAAAAATAAGAAGGGGTGGCAAGTGGAGAATCACACATAAAACTAACGACCCATACAAATGCTATTTAAAAAGGTAATAATCATAGAGTTAAAGTGGAATGAAGTGGCTAGAAATAGCAAACCAGTTCCATTTCACTGATGGGAATGGAGCTGTGTTCCACTGCTCTGAGGGAAGCAGACGCAGCTCTCTTGCCCTCTGGTTGCTCCCAAGCAGGGGATGACCTTCTCCAGCAGCTGGCACACACAAGGCAAGTGGCCTTGACCTTTGGGTTTCGGGTCTGAAAGAAACAAGGTCTAACTACTGTACCCGTGTGCTATGGTGTGAGTCCACATGAGGATAATGTGTTGAAAATCTGACCCACTGAAACTATGACCTTTAACCTTTTGTTCCCATGGGTTCTCACGCATCCTCTCTGTGCTGTTGGTGAAAGGAAGATGAACTGATGGAACACTCAGCTGGTGTGGGGCACGTTTGGGTGCTGTTTGCAAAGCTCCCTCTCCTGAGGTACCAGGTTTGCTGCTGGTGAGAGCCCCTGAAAGGAAACATCTGTTTCCTCGCTCTGGATTATTACAGGGATCGGGCAGGTGGGCTTCAGGTGTCTATTGAAAACAGGGCTTGGGAATTTTTAGGAGACTTGGAACAGCATTCTCTACTTAAGCCAAGGTCTTCTCAGTTGGTTCTCGCAGGACATACACGCGGTTGTAGCACTGAGCTCATCTGCAGGAGGCTGATCAGATGAATGCGGAGCTCTCGGGACTGTTCTCCAGGGGAGGGATGGCACACTTCTCAAGGCTGCTTAACTACAGCCTTACAAGACACAGAATCTTCTACCTTCAGCCATATCATGCATACTTGCCCGATGAAGCCCGATCTCTTATATACATGGCAGGGGCTGGGAAGACGACGGGAACAAAGCTATGCTGGATGGGCTTTTTAATACACTGAGCCACGGCCATCCCTCTGGGTTCTATTTGCACAGCAAGGCACTTGTCAAAGAAAACAACACTGGGGACAACTCACTCTTCCTTTCCACCCCCACACTGCACTGCATCCGATTCTGCAGA